GGAAATGGGTCTAATCGGTGCTAAACAGTACACACAGGTATGTAAACACTGTACTGTTTAATAATAAAAACTTATTAATAGATAAAAAAAATTATTTATTGATTTATTAGCAACACTTGTCTGAGTTAAGCAAAATAAGTATAGCTATGGAGTCGGACATCGGGACGTTTACGCCGACGGGTATAACCTATTCGGGCCAAAACCCGACCGCACAGTGTATTGTCAATCAAATACTTCAATCGTTGAAACCGATAAACGCCAGTCAGTTGAGGATCGGTAGCGAAGGTTCCGATATTGAGCTATTGATGGGTAAAGGAGTGCCCGGCAGTAGTCTAGACAACCGTAACGACCGATACTTTTACTTTCATCATTCGGCCGGCGATACGATGACCGTCGAGAATCGGCGCGATCTGGACTTATGTACGGCCGTATGGGCGGCCACTGCCTACGGGTTGGCCTCAATCGATGACCAATTGCCCCGATAATAGTAGACCGAAAAATATATATATATATATTTTTTAGTCTAATTATTCAAATTAAATACAACAACAAAAATGTAAATTTAATTTTTATCAGTTATTAGATTTATTTGATTAATAGTTACTTAAATGAAATTTTTTAGATATTTATTTAATTAATTAATAAAAAAAAATGTGTTAATATTTAAAATCTGCTTAAATCAAATAATATTTAAGTAATAATAATTTTAAAAATTAAATATACTATATATTTTTTGTACTAAACAAATATAAATTGAATAAACTAAACAAATAAAATTTAAAAATTTTAATTTTTATAAATGCTAAATATATTATTTTAATATTAGATATATATTTATCAATAGTTGAAAAATGTTTTGATATTACTGTGTATATATATATATATATATATATATATATAAACTAAAACACAATGTGTTTGAAAATTATTAATAAATATTTTTAAAAGTAAACATTAATACTAACATTTGAATGTATTTTTTTGATACTATAGTATTCATTATTTTTCAATTAAATAGTATTTAATTATTTTATATCTCAATATATTAATTGATAAATATTATAAAATCAATTAAAATATAATTAATACTTTATTATTATTATTTTTTAAAAGTGTTATTTGATTATTTTTTTAAAAAAATTGAAATAAAATAAAATAGTTTTTATAATTATTATTTTTAATACATAAATATTATATTTTTAAATAAATATGAAACCGTAACTTAAGTTGAAAATAACACCAAAAATAATGATAAAAATTATAATATTTTTTTATTTACTTAAATCTACTAAAAAAAAATAATTTTAGTTAGTAATCATAATTATTGTATATTAATTATTATTAGTATTTTATATGATATTAATTATTAGATATATATTATACCAACAACAACAAAAAAAAACTATAAATTAATGTTAAGTAAAATAATTACAATTAATTTATTATTGTTGTTGTTGTGTTTCAACACAAATGTTTGGACGACCATTGAAATGGTTGACTACCCGAACATAACTGTCCCTCAGTGTGGTATCGGTCGACAATCATTGCTTGGAAACGGCAAATGTTTTCAATGGTTATCCCAATCTAATCAAAGTCTAACCCATGATGTGAATAATGGACGCAATCCAGGACCGGGTGAAGTGCCGTTTGCCGTATGGGTAGACTGACCACCCAATTTATTAGTAAACCTGTATAATAGTATAAAATTATTATTTTCACCTGTATTTTCCTGTATATTAAATATTATATTCCTGTATGTTAACCTGTACTTAAATAACTATATTTTCGTATAAATTTATAATATAAATTAAGAAAAATTTTAATTTAGATACTATAATTATAAAAAAAGTTAAAATTATTTTATATTGAACATGAACAATTTTAGAAATATTTATACATTTTTTATATTTAAACAAATATTTTAAATATTTAAACTGTATATTAAAAATACAAGCAATTTTTTTACTAACAAATCTTAATTCATAGTTATTCTATACTTTTATTAATCAATTAGTTTTGCATATTTTAAAACTGTATATTTTATTATACAGGTTAGCCCTCTCCTGTCGCCTGTATTAGACTCTTGATTCCTGTATAATACAGGCGGCACCTGTATGGGTGGTCAGTCTACGTATGGGTTGTACGCAAGGAGTAAATACCATTAAAAAAAATATTATTTATTTTTTCTAACAACCAATAGTTATAATAATAATAATAATAATAATAATAATAATTTTAAATTAAAATTATTTTAATATTTACTATGACTAAAAAACTAATTATAGTAGAAGTTATGGATCGGGTGTTATAATAAATAAACGATGGATAATGACTGCCGCACACGTATTATAGTAAATATATATATAATCATTATTTAAATAATATATATATATATATATATATAGTTAAATATAATCAGAGTAAAGCAATGGGGGGGGGGTAGGGGAGTAAAGCCAAAATATCACTCTATGATGATCGCGATTTTGGAATTTTACCCCACCCCCTCCCTCACCCCAAACATTTTGACCAATTGGGAAAAATTGTTGCTTAAAAACAAAGAAAAAATACTCACCCCCCCCCTGTAAAATTTTGACACCTATATTTTAATAGTTTATAAATTTTAATTGATACTATTTTAATGTTATTTTAAAAATTAATATATAGACTATTAAGTAAAATAGTGAAAAATTTCGTCTAAAAACTCATCTAAAAATTAAAATATTCAACTATAAAAAAAAATTAAAAATATGGTTACCCATTTGTCAAAAAGTCAGTAAGTTTAAATTTAAGTTAAAATTATCAAGATAAATAATAAAGATAGTAAAAACAATAATTAGCTGCTTATAAATACAATAAAAAGTGTACACCCTACTTTAAACCACCCCTCAAAAAATTTTTTTTTTAATTTATAAATATACCACACCCTACTCCTCCCCCCCCCCTAAAATCCAAAACCTTGCTTAACCCTAATATTCATTAATATATATATATATATATACAGTATATACTGTATACTTTATAATATTTAATTCAATTATCATAATTTAATTATTTAAAGTATTAATTATATTTTTAACTACACATATAATTTTTTATTATAGTTTAATTATTTAATTACTTATAAAAATCGGACCGTATAATAATCGTGTTATCGCCTGATATATATATATTGCAGTGTTTTTTGTTCAGTTAGTTTACTTTCAAAAAGTTTCAAAACAAAAAAAAATTCAATTAAAGGTTTAAAATTTTATTTTCTCATAAAAACTAATTAATTGTAAAAATCCTAAAATATAATAATCATTTTTTTGTTAATTTGAATTTTAAATTGTATTTTTTTTAAAATGCTATTTGACATATAAATATTTTATAAAAAACAAACATGATAAATTATTATTTTTTTAATTATCCAGTTCATTATAATGATGCTATTGAAAAATGTTTTTTTTTTGATATTTGTGTACTAAAACTAAAACACAATGTGTTTAAAAATTATTAATAAATATATATTAAATTAAACATTAATACTATTTTTTTTAATACCTATCTTATAATATTCATAATAAGTGTAAAAAATTTAATCATCAATGGAGACATAAAAAAAATTTAATTTTAATTTATTTTAAGAAAATTGTTTATATGTGTGATATTAATAAATATTATTTTTTTTTAAATACCATATGTTATAATAGATATCATTTACGTAATAAAAATAAAAATAATAGTAATATAATGACATACAAAACAAACACAATTATACATTACTTTAATATACAAAAATTATTTATTTAACTTTTATTTATTTTATTTTTTTTTCGAAAAAAAACTAAAATTTTGTTAAATCGTAATTTATATTTAATTTGCAAAAATATAAAATAACAAACTTAATATAAATTAGTTTTATTTTATTTAAAAAAAATAAATTTTATTATATATATATTAAGTAAGAAATAAAACTTTGAATATTATGTCATTCTATAACATGATATTTTGAATATTTTTAAAAAAAATTAAATTAAAAATTTTTTAAAAATACTTTTTGAAATATTTTATTTTCAGTTAGTTTTGCTTCAAATAGTTAGTCAAAAACAGTTGTTAAGAGAGAAAAAAAATTAATTTTTAATAAACAGAAAACTAAATAAATTAAATTATTTTTTGTTTTGTTTTCCTAAATACTATTTTAAATCAAACTCAATATAAAGTAATAATTATTATTTTTTTAAACTTTTAATTTCTATTTTTTAATGCTATTTAAGATATAATTATTAATTTTTTAAATAAGCATGTTAATTTTTTTTAAATTTACAATTTAATTAATTTATTCAAATAAAATGGCTAAAATTATCCAGTTCACTATGATGATGATGGTATTGATAATGCTAGTGATGATTACCTGGATGATTGATGTTTGTCATGGATGCGACCCAGGTTTTTATGATTGCGGATATAGCAATTGTCCTTGTATGTAATTAATAATAATAACTAATTTATTAAACAAGCACAATTAAACACATTTGTATTGTAATATATTTAAAACATTATATATAAACTAAAAATTAAAAAAAACTAAATATACTAGATCAAAATTCATATCAAAATTAATGTTACATATGTTTGTATATATATATATTAAAAAATGTTTGTATATTCATTCAATTCAATTTACCAAAAAAAATTGTAATTATTTAAGTTATTATACAATAAAAACTAATATGAATTAATTGTAAAACAAATTTTTGTTAAAATTTTATTTAATAGTATTAAAACCTAAAATAATATTTTAAATTAAAATTTAGATTTTTTATTCTTAAATTTGATAATTAAATAATACTAAAATAAAAAAAACATTAATATATATACAGTATAGTAATATATTTAATACTATTGTTAGATTTAAATAATATATTATTATTAATATTTTAAAAACAATAGATATATAATCTTAAATATGGCTATAAATATCCGATTCAGTGAAACCCAGTTATCAATCGGCACTATATTTGATGGCTAACTGGCCGTACGGCCCGTATGTGTGGACACTACAGGCCACGGTTGGCCTCAATCGATGACCAATGATTGACCCGATAGGAGACCGAAAAAAATGTTAATATTTTTATTATTAATTTAATATGAATTTGTAATTAATATAAAATATTATTAATTGTTATGATTAATGATTTTACACTTTTCTTAAAATTAATTAATTAATTATTAGTTAAATATATTGTTTTTAAAAAAAAAATATTTTTATATGTATTTAAACATAAAAATGTGGAATTTTTCTAAACAATAATCAAATTGAGAAATAATTAAATTTATTTTTTTTTAATTTATTGTACTTAAAAATATATATTGAATCAGTTAAACAAATAAAAAAAACTAAATTGAATTTCAATAATAAATCTCATATTAATCTAAATATTAATTAATAGATATATCAATTAATAGTAGTTGAAAAATGTTTTGATAATATATATATATATTGATATATTATATATACTATATATATATATAACAACTAAAACACACACACACACACACAATGTGTTTGAAAATTATTAAACAATTTTTTTTATCAGATATTTTTAAAATCATATCTTAATATATCAAAGTTCATAACAACAATAATTACAGTAATATATTAGATATTAGCAATAATTTTCATATACAGTATATGTTAAATATTTTTATTTATTTATTTTTTTTAGGCACAAAGTTGTTAAGTTTATTATAAGTTTAAGTGAATTATTATTTTTAAAAAAAACCTAATATTTAGTATCAATAGTATTATTATTATTATTATTATTGTTATCACATTTTACTCAATTATCTTTTTATTTTAAATGTGTTTATCAATAGTGTAAATGTATTAATGAAAAAAAATCAGTTGATTAGTGTATATAAAGTTTATAAATATTTTTACAACAAAAATATTAATATTAATGTCAATAAATAATTTCAAACTAAACATTAAAACACTTAATATTAATATTATTTATTAGTTTCATATATTTTTAAAACAAAAATTATTTTAATATTATTATAATAGAGTTTAATAATATGTTTTATTGTAGATTTTTTTTAAGTATATGATTAATAAAATATATTTTGTTTAAAAAAATACACAAATATTTATTTAATTATTTTATTTAATTTTTAAACAAAATAATAGAAAATATGAAAAATATTTTTAGTTTTATAATATTAGTAACAATACAAGTGTTTTATGTAGACTTAGTGCCAAAAACAACAACATTTGATCCGATAATATGTGAATCATTGCCTAAATTTAATACCGAAATCCGTCAACAAATTGCCAACATTTCCGCGGATATCCAGAAAATCATCGATTATGTGGTCAACGGCCCGGACAGTGGCCTAACCTATAAGGAATTAGCATTATTTGTCGACCAGTTTGGCTCCCGTTTTACAGGAACTGCTAATCTTGAATCGGCTATTGATTATATGGTTGACCGATTAAAACGGGATAAACATGATAAAGTTTATACGGAAAATGTTACCGTTCCTGTCTGGGTATGTATACAGTATACCTGTCCATCAAAGATAGGGACTTCTAGTAATACTACTATTGATATACACAGATACGTGGCAAGGAATGGGCACAAATGGTTAGTCCACGTAACAAACCCTTAAACATATTGAGTCTGGGCTATAGTGTCGGTACCAATGGATCAGTACTTACCGGTGATGTTATAGTTGTCAAAACATTTGATGAACTAAAGAGTCGCTCGGAGGAAGTCCGGGGAAAGTTTGTTGTCTATAACTATGATTTCAAAAGTTATGGCGAATCTGTTAAATACAGGGGACAGGGAGCCAGTCAAGCTGCACAGTACGGTGCTATCGGTGCACTGGTATGTAAACTACTCAAGTTTTAAAACATAATTATTTATTTATTTAAATAGATCCGATCGGTGACACCGTTTTCAATTAACTCACCGCACACTGGTATGCAATGTAAGTATAGTTTATTATTATTATAATAATTATTATTATCAATACTTTATTATTTTTATTATTACATTTGATGGATAGCTTACGCTAATAATGTACGGAAAATACCGGCCGTCAGTATTACCGTAGAAGATGCCGAACTATTTGGTAGACTAGCGGCCAGTGGTATCAACATTACAGTCAGTATATCAATGGAGGCCCGCATGGATGGTGAGGCCGTATCGAGGAATACTGTCAGCGAGATTACCGGTTCCAGCAAACTGGATGAGGTTAGTTAAAGGGGTTAGTATACTAAACATAAGTATACTAAACATACAGTACCCCCCCCCAAAAAAAAATCATAGGTAGTACTAGTATCGGGTCATCTGGACTCATGGGACGTAGGACAGGGAGCCATGGATGACGGCGGCGGTGCATTCATATCATGGCGGGCACTGTCGGTCATCAAAAAACTAGGTTTAAAACCTAAACGTACGGTGCGATCGGTGTTGTGGACCGGCGAGGAAATGGGTCTCATAGGTGCTCAACAATACGCACAGGTATGTATGCAATACTGATATTAAAATATATATTTATATTAAACAAATATATTATTAATAATAATACTTTATTTTTTTTATAAGCAACACATCAATGAGTTAAGCAAAATGAGTATAGCTATGGAGTCGGACATCGGGACGTTTACACCGACGGGTATAACCTATTCGGGCCAAAACACGACCGCACAGTGTATTGTCAATGAATTGCTTAAACTATTGAAACCAATAAACGCCAGTCAGTTGCGGATCGGTAGCGAAGGCTCCGATATTGACTATTTGATGGACAAAGGAGTGCCCGGCAGTAGTCTAGACAACCGTAACGACCGATACTTTTACTTTCATCATTCGGCCGGCGATACGATGACCGTCGAGAATCGTCGCGATCTGGACTTATGTACGGCCGTATGGGCGGCCACTGCCTACGGGTTGGCCGCAATCGATGACCAATTACCCCGATAACAGTCCCCAAATATTATAGTTAATAAATAGTTTTTTATTATTATTTTATAAACCCGTATATAAAACTATGTATTGTATTATCATTTATTTTTTATTATTATTATTAATTAACTAAATAAAGTTTTTTAATCATTATTATAGTTTAGACTTATATTTACTGATATTTAAATGCATATCAATATATATGATATGACAAACCATTAGATTTTTTTGGGGTTTTAATGGGGGTGGGGAAGGGAGGGGGTGCCAAACAAAATCATATATAAATTATTGATAGGACACTAAATATTTTACAGTTTTAGCTGTGATTTAGATTTTTTATTTAAAAATATATATATTTTATTAATCAATGAATTTATTGCAATTTTACATTTTATTGTTTATATATATATATATATATATATATATATATATATATATATATATACAGTATATATAACTTTATATATAAAATTTAATATTTTCTAATAATTTAGTTACAGTACTAATAATTGTATTTAAAAAACAAAAATTATTAAAATTTACAAACAAAATAATAGCAATTAAATTTTTTTTTGTTGCAACAAATAATATTATTTTACTAAACATAATATATAATATATATTGTTGTAGTCATTGATTTTCATTTATCTATTTATTTTTTTAAACCACCAGGATTAAAAACTCTTTCAGCAAATGTTTCAGCCATAGCTTTATCTATGAAAACAATATTTTTAAAAAAATAAAAAAAATAAAGTTATATATATATATAATTAAATAATTAAATAAATATATAATGAAAAAAGTCATCTAAATTTTTTGTTACTATTTTTAAAAATAAAATTACATAATAATAAACAATAATATTTTTTTTTAATATATACATACGTATGGTAAGGATGACCACCACTGCAACCAATACTATAAAGCGATTCATTGTTTGTTTGTTTGTTATAACTTTTTGATTAGATATTGATTTTTTTTCCTAATATACTAATATTTATTAATATAAAAAAATGATTTACAATATTATAGAGTTATATACTTTACTTACAAAACTTAATTAAATTTTTTTTGTATAGATGTATAATTATATATATAAATATATACAACATATACTGTATAATGTATTATTACTACTACTACTACTAAATTATTAATTAATATTTACACATTATTTCCACACACACACACACACACACACACACACACACACACACACACACACACACACATACATGTTATTTAATACTAAATATTTTTTTAAATTATAAAATTTTTGAAAATATTTTTTTTTAAATTCCTAAAAAAAAGTATCAATAATATGCTGTCTGTTTATTGATGTATATGCAGTATATTTTTTTTGAAAACTAACTTTAAACTATTAGCACTAAAAAAATACAAAAATTTTCTATATTATTTTTAAAAATTAAATATCAATTAAAATCAACATATTTTATAAGGGCTAAAAAAATTTTCTAATTAATGTATAATAGATAATTTGATATTAATGTAATTATTACTAAATATGTTTTTTTTGTTAGTCTATTAGTTAAATATATTTTTTTTAAATTTTATTTATAAACTAAATGCGTGTTTAAACATATGGTATTAAAATAATTTGTTTCATAATTTCCTTTAAATACATTATTTTAGTTTTATTTATAAAAAAAAATATTTCTTAACAATATCGATGAAGCAGTTGATAATAATTATTAAATTAAATTATATTTTATTATAGATTTGAATTAATAATCAATGACTTTAGTTATACTGTATATATAATACTATATTTATTTGCCACTAATACTATAATATTTATTCAAAACAATATTTTTTTTAAGACATAAAAATTATAATTATTTAAAAAACAAAAACATCAAAACAATTATTAATTGAAACTGAAAAAAATAATATATAAATAACATAATTTATAATTATAATAAAAATAAATATTCATATTATTGTAATTTTTTAATTATATTTTTAATATAATAATAATTATTATGTTATTCTTAAAATTAACTTTATTTTAATATTATTGTTTTTTTTATAATCTATAGTAACTTTACATTAAATTAAATCACTATTAAATTTCTTGTTAACTTATAATAACTAATTGATTAAACAATTGTTATTTAACTAAATCTGTATCAATATTTTTGTATTTATTATTAAAATTTTTAATCATTGATTGTTACAAAAAAATTATTTTATATTAATTGTTTTAAATGTTTAATGATTTCAGAGAGAGAGAGAGAGAGAGAGAGAGAGAGAGAGAGAGAGAGAGAGAGACTGTATTATAAATTATAGTACAGTCTCTCTCTCTCTCTCTTTTAATAATTAATAATTTTAATTATAATAAATATTTATACTGTTATTAAGCTTAAAAAAATTATTACTCTAAATAAAAATGAATATGATTAAAATATGATTATAAATTTTTATTAAAAAATAATTATTTCTAATAAAACTGATTTAAAACAAATTATTTAATAAATTTATTAACAATTTTAATTAGTCAAACATTATTAAAATATTAATAATCTAATAAATTTAGTTACAGTAACAATAATAATAATTGAAAAACAAATAAAAAACAAATATCATTAAAAAAAACAAAATTAATAACAATTATATTGTTGTAGTCATCATTGATTTTTTATTCATCATTATTATATTTAAGATATTGACCAATAGCTCTATCGTACATTTGGTTACCATAAGCTTGATCTGCGCCAACAATATTAGGAAAAAATATTTAAAAAAATAAAAGTTAAATATTTTGTTTTAAAAAAATTGACTAATTAACAAAAAAAAAATTTATTGAAGACAGCGACAAAAACAGCGATTATTATTTTTGTTACTGTATTATGACATATAAATTAACCAAAAAATTACATAATAATTAAAAAAAAAATTAATTCAATGATACATACGTATGGTAAGGATGACCACAACTACAATAACCAATGTTATGAAACGATTCATTGATTGATTTTTTGTTTGTTTTAATAACTATTTTAGATATTAATTTTGAAACTTTTTTGTTTTTGTTTTGAAGCTCTACTGCTTTATACACTATTTGTTAAAAAAATAATAAATAGTAGAGACTTATATACTTTATGAATATTACATTAAAATTTAATTAAAATTTATATTATATATATATTACATATATTTTGGCTATTTGTCGTCCATCTGTTTTTTTGACGCAATTAAAGTATTATTATTATTATTATTATTATTATTATTACTACTACTACTACTACTACTATGAATTGTAAAATTAAATTTGTTTTGTATTTTATAAATAAAATAATTTTCAAAAAAAAATTAAAATCTATTTATTTTCATGTAAATTAAACTTTTTCTACGTCAACATTTAAATTTGTTCAATACTAAATTATAGTTTAAATAATCTATATATTTATTAAACTTAAAAATTAAAAAGCTAATATATCTATAAAAATTCTAATTTTAATATTATTAAATAATTAAAGATTAGTAAATTTTAAAAAATGTATTATGTTTAAAAGTTCATCTTGAAATGTTTTTACCTTTACTTATTTTAAATAATTTAATTACACAATTATTAACTAATATTACATATTATATTTTTACACACATATACATGTTATTTAATATTATATATTATGAATTATGAAATTTTTAAAAATTAATTAAAAAGATATTTCTTTTTTAAAAAAAAGTAATACAATATTCTGTCTTTTTATTGACAAAAATGCTGTATATTTTCAAACAAATTTAAAACTTTAACTTTAAACTAATAGTACAATAATACAAATAATTTTATTTATAATTTTTAAGCATAGTTTAAAATTTAAAAATAAACTAATGTAAAAATAGATAACCTTATATTAATGTAATTACTAATTGTGTGTTTTATGACAGATTATTAGTTAAATATATATATATTTTTTAAAAAAAATTATTTACGTAATAAATATTAGTTTTAACATATGGTATTAAAATAATTTGTTTTATAATTTTGCTTCAAATATATTATTTTATTTTAAAAAATAAAATTTCATAACACTATGGATGGAGAGATTGATAATAGTTATTAAATTAAATATTATTATAGATTTGAATTAATAAACAATAACTTGCGTTATATATTATATATTTATTTGCCAAAAATACTATGATATCTATTAAAAACAAAAAATTATCATTAAATAAATGATAATTAAAATTATTGAAAAAAAACATAAATATTAAAACTATTATCAATTAATACTGAAAAAATTTTATATAAATAAACTAGTTTTTTATTATAAAAAAATAATAAAGATTTCTATTATTTTATTTTATTTTTCAACTAAATTTCAACCATAATAATAATAATATATATTTGTTACTATTTTTTTTATTATTATTGATTTAATTATAAACAGTAGTAAATCTACATTAAATTAAATTATTATTAAATTAATTGTTGTCTAATAATAACTAATTCATTAACATCAACAGTAAAGCATTGATTGTTGAAAATAATTTTTTTTATATATTAATTGTTTTAAATGTTTAATGACTTTAAGAGAGAGAGAGAGAGAGAGAGAGAGAGAGAGAGAGAGAGAGAGATTGTTATTAAGTATTTATAAGTATATAATATTAGTTATCTATGAAAATAGTAATTAATAATTATAATAAATATTTATACTGTTATTAAGCTTAAAATTATTACTCTAAATAAATAAAAAATAATATGTTTAATTATTAATTATAAAATTATATTTAAAATAATTATTTCTAATTAAACTAATCGATTAATAATAATCAATCAATATAACAATTATTTAAAAATAATATAATAGTTTTATTAATCAATAAATTTATTAACAATTTTTTACATTTTGTTGTTTGTTTTTTTTAAAATATATATTTAAGATATATATATATATATAGTATAATAATTCAGTTACAGTAATAATAATAATAATAATAACAAACAAATATTTAAAAAAATAACTTAAATAAACAAAATTAATAACAATTAAATTTTTTTTATCAAAAATTATTTATAAAATATATGTATTGTTGTAGTCATGGATTATA